TGGATCTAACAGTTACTTTTTCCAAAGGCCAAGTATTGTTGGATAGGCGAAATCGACTTAAAAGTCGAAATGCGCAACAAAATTTATTTTTACATTGCAATAATAAGCTGTAATATCTTTTATTGTTGTTTTAATATTTTTATTTTATTTTATTATTGCTTGTTTTATAGAAGAAGTTTTGTTTTCCATTGTTAATGTGTTACTACTTTCAAATATTTTTGTTATATAATAAGTGAAACGTAAGTTATTAATAATTAAATAATAATAATTAAGAAAAATTCTTCGTTATAATATGCAGTGAAAAAGTAAATCCCATAACCTACACTCTATTTTTTGATATTAGTGCACAGTGCATAATAGCGTAACAAACACAATATAATATACGTACAGTATTTGTTTTCAAAAATAAGTGTAATATAAAATAAATTCATATAAGTATGTAGTCCAACTAAAACGAGTAATCGAACCTCGAGCGCAAACTAGTACTGGAACCTCAAGCGCAAACGATTACTTGTAACGAGTAACGAGTACAAAGTAACGAATACTTTTTCTGAAAGTAACGGATAGTTACAAATACTAAAAAGTAACTAAACTTTACATCACTACTCAGTATCAAAGATTATTGGAGTAAAAAATTCCACGTATACATTCCATTTTATAATAAAATTTTTAAACGTAAACGATTTCTACAAATATTTTGGGCAATGCATTTAGAAACCATGCCTTAAACGGACGATAAGGAAAGAATTTCTCTAGATAAAGTTGTCTATTTTCTTAACTATTTGGACAAAAAATTTAAACAACATTTTGTACCAGAACAGAATACCTATGTAGATGAATTCAAAAGAAGAATTTCACAAATGGGGACTTTGTCTGTACGTATTAGCTTACTCATCATGCGGATATTTATACACATTTTTGCCATATTTTGGACAACAAACGACAAACGCAGTAATTTATCCCGATTTACCAGTCACAAGCCGGATTGTTTTACATCTATATAATAATCTACAACAATTAATACCCGAAGCAATAGGATATTTTTTTCCGATATACTAGCATCATACTTGCCAAACAATTGCTCAATTTGCAATGTCATTTAATGGGAACGGTTATGACGAATAGAAAAGGAATACCTTTCTGGATGAAATCACCGAAATTAAGAATTGGGGAAACAATTGCTTATCGCAAACATGAAATATTCTTGCTTTCATGGCGCGATAAACGTGTCGTATCTATGCTGTCAACGTGGAGAACGTCAAGATCCCAAATTGTTAGAAATAGAAGAGTTTTGGATAATAGAACGCAACCAGTTTTCAAGCCAAGTAGAATAGTACAATATAATAAAAACATGGGAGGCGTCGATTTAGCAGATCAATATACTGCAACCTCTACTACTTCCTGCGTAAAACCCTAAAATGGTAGAGAAAACTTTTTTTCTGGGGTTTGGAAGTATCTATCATCAATGCTTATATTTTATACAAAGCATCTCCTACTAATACCATTAAAACGTTTATCACAAACAATTCAGATAAAAACTGTTGCTTGAGCTTGTGGGGGACATTCGTATAACAGCAAAACGTGGACGACCATCATCCAACGACTAGACGGAACGTTACATATAATTACACTGCATCCCCAGCATAAACACAAGGATTTTACAGTTTGTTCTAACCGAAAAGTTCCAGGTGGTAGAAAAGATAACCGACTGGGGAACTCGGTGCGGACCGGCTGATACGAACTTGCAAATCCAGCGCGGAATGAAGAGAAGAATGTAGAAACTGCGAATGTAGCGCGGACCGCAAAGGGTTAATATCCGGCCAAAGTTAACTATCCGGTATCCGGCCAGATTTAAAAAAATTGCCATATACCAGATTGTTACCGGATATCCGTTCCATCATTACCCCTAAACATTTTGGAGAAAACAACTTTTATCATTACTATCAAACTTCAAATTAAGTAGATGATTTGTAAAAATTTACATAAATTAGAGAGGTCAACCTGGAATCTTATAATTTGGTAAAACCTAACCTTAAACGTTCTTTTATAACTTGAAAAAGTTGCATCCTTTGGAGAAAACAACGTTTTCCTTAAATTTTAAAAAATTTCTATGCAGGTGTTCCTGTAAGTCGTGGCATAATTTTAATCACAAATACTACAGTTAAAATGATGCTGATTCGTGTAAAAATTTTTGGTCTAAACCCATAAATGGCTAAGATATGAGCTTTAATATTTTCAATATGATTTGTCTTAGAAAGATAAAAATTGACAAACAGTGCTATTTTATCAAGAAAAATCGTTTAAGATCGCTTTTTAAAATATGTAACCACGGGATCAATGCTATACAGGCTGTTCACAAAGATTATTTCCTTAAAACTTTTTTATTATGTCATAAACCCTTAAATTTTACAACTGATTCCAAAAGCCTATTTCATTTTAAAATTATTTTCGCGGACTAACCCCACTGCAGCCATGGAAAACATGTTTAACCTAACGCCACTTCATTTGTTCATCCAAGAGGTGGCACTGGTGACCATGACTCGACTGCGAACAGCAGGAATTCTAATGGGTGAGAGATATAGTAAAAATGCCATTCTCTGGAATGAAATGGTGGACTACTCACCAATTCTGGACTGTATAACGAACTTCACACCCTTACAACACATTTTTACGAAGAAATATCTCACCCACCCAAGTTCCACAGAAGTAGAGGTAAAAAACAGCCTTAAAATCAACACTGATGGTTCAAGGAGACGGGAAGGAGCTGGAGTTTCTCGTACGATCTCCGACTCCACGTATCTGAACCTCTCGGTAAAAGTACCACCGTCATACAGGCGGAGTTAATCGCCATTCAACTTGCTGCTGACGTTATTGAGAGATCCAACTTGGTAGGTAAGACTTTTACAATTTACACTGACAGTAGACAAGCTATTTTAGCCCTGAGTAGAATAACAATTACCTCAGGACTTGTTATGGGTTGTCATCTGACATTGGAGAAGGCCGCAGTGCATAACTGTGTTATACTTCAATGGACAAAAGGACACTCGACTTGTTCAGGTAACAAGCACGCTGATAGACTTGCCAAAAGGGCTGCCAAGCGAGCGCCATGTTCGCCTGAACCGATAATCGCTCCGTCCTTATCAACTCAGATTGAGATAATTAAAGATTTGACCCACAAAAAGCTTATGAACTGGTGGGATAGGGTTAAGGGCTGCCATCTGTCTAAGGAAGTATTACATTATCCCTCAGCAAAGGCAGCCTTGTCTTTCGTAAGGCTTAGTAGAAACGCTCTACGAACTGTAACGGGACTCGTCACGGGTCACTGTAAGGTAAACAAGCATCTTTATAACCTTAAGCTTGCTGTTAGTCCTCTCTGTCGCCTCTGTGAGGAGAGCGAGGAGACGGTTCGACACATCTTGTATGAATGCTCCACTCTGAAAGACCTCAGAATGAGAGACTTCGGAAAGGAATGGCCGAAAACAGATGGCATCAGGAACACACCTCTGAGCTGTACCCTAGCCTTCGGAAATTCCTTAGGCAGGTAGCTGGAGAGAGTGCAGGAGGATGTCCAAGGACCCGTTGGGGCCTAGGTGCTGTATGCGGAAGCATACCCTACCTACACACATATTTAGGGTAAATGTATATCCTTGATGAACCTTAGTATTGCAGGCATTCTTTACCGAAAATTTTGTGTCTTAAGCGGCCTCTGGCGAGGCATTCACACAGTATATGTTCAGCAGTCTCTGACTCGTCGTTACAAAATCGACAAGTTTGATCCTCAGATTGTCCAATTTGGAAGATATGTTATATTAGGGGCGCATGGCCGGTCAGGAAGCCTGAGAGTGACCTAAGATTCCCTTTTCTGAGGTATAAAACTTCTTTGATTTTGTTTTGCGGAGTTATCATACTCTTCGCTTGTCTGTGACCTGGAAGTTCTTTCCAGCGTAAGGCTACCTTCGAGGCCTACCAACTATTGATTACCTACTTTAAGTGGCTTTTTGTAGTCCACAACCGGGTTGGGATCTAATAAAGGGCGTTTCCGTTGCCTCTTTGGCAAGCTTGTCCGCCTTTTCATTGCCCTCAATGTCTCTGTGACCTGGAACCCATTATAGAGTAACATCATTGCCCCTAGCAAGTTCTCTCAGTTTGCTGGTACACTCTCTGATCATAGGCCTGAATTGCCTTTAAGGCAACCCGACTGTCTGTGAAAATGTTTTATGGATGCACCTTTCTGACCTTTTTCTAGGTCCAAATGGTGTAGAAGTTTATAGCAAGAACTTCTGCTTGAAAAGTGGTTATGTCCGAGCTGAGGGGCAACTTAATGCGACTATTTGGTACACTAATGCCCATACCTACTCTAGATCCAACTGTCTTTGAAGCATCGGTGTACCAGGGAAGAGCTCCTCTTTACACCTTTATCATAATCCTTCTCCATGTTATCCTAGCCTAGTTCAATTCTTAGTATTTGTGCAACCCATTGCCACTTGCGTTTCCTTATCTCTAGTTTCATTTCCTTTTCCACTGCTTATAGTAGGAGATCTCCGTTTGGTACAAAATCTAACCATTTTATTCGTAATAACATTCCAAATATTTGTTTGGGTTTGTTTATTCTCTGCGCCACGCCCGCCACTGATCCTTAGCTTTTTGTTACCATACTGCTCAGGTATGTTCTTGCTGAATATTGTAAGTAGTTGTGCATTGCTGATATTTCCTTTGTATTTACCAGAAAATGTGTAGTTTCATTATCACTTATGTCAGTTTGTTTTATTCACAATGGAAACAACTTACATTGCGTTTACTTAGGATAGTCTATAAAAACTAAGTAATGGTAGTTTAAAGACAAATACTTGACTAAGTTACAGCAAAAATTCAATTACATTTGTGCAAACAAAAAGTACATTTCATAACAGTACTTAAATAAATCTCTTTTGAAGTTTTATTTGTTAGCCGTTTAATCTTAAAGGATGAACGTGATGGGATAAATAAATAAAACTCAGGAGTATGTAATAATATTATTGTTAATCGTTTATTATTAAAACTTTTATAATATTTCGTATAAATGTAATACTCTTACATGATAATGATACAGGCTATCTTGGACGTTTTAAATGCAAGTTAATAAAAACTAAATATAATCATAGCCTAAAAGGAAAACAAAAATATCATCAATTATATCCCACTACCCAGTAGTAGCAATATAAAAAACTATAATTAATCAGTAATAAAAATACCAGATAAATTTCAACAAATTATCCAGTCCCACAGCACTCAAATAGTATAATTATTTATTAATAAAATAAAATCACATTCTCTCAAATCTTAAAATTTAACACTCCCTCCTGAACAATTTCTCCATAAAATCCAAAAATATCTCGTGAGGTAATCCCTTAGATATCTGATGAATATGAGTTTTAATCAATTTAAAACTTTCCTCTTCGTAAATCGAATAAGTAATAGGAAGACTTAATTCTTCATATAAATTCTTAATTATAGATGTGGACTCCGGTTCTGGACGACCATAATGCGCCTCGAATACTTGTTTTTGTACCGGAGATGCTCTTTGTAATGCAACTACAGACAACCAAGTACACCTTCCCTCTTTGATATCGGTGCCTTTCTTTCCAGTCATCACCGGATCTCCAAAACAATTCAAAAAGTCCTCCTAAATTAAATAAAATACAAATATTCAAAATCGTTTGATTCGAATATTTTTTTTTAACAAACCTGAACTTGGAAGAAATGTCCCATTTCCAATAATATGGTCCTCGCCTGTCTATGCATTTCTGGATCGAAACGTGACGACAAAAACATCGCCAATGCCACGGGAAGATAAAACGAATGATACGAATGTCTGTACTTGACGATGGCATCGTAACGACTCATCGTAAACGCGTCCAAATTTGGAACACCACCTCTCTTCGCAAAGAAATCTAACGTTTGTCCCATCGCGGATTTTAAAGCTGCTTCGTGGAAAAGTTCTAACATCGGAAGGTAACAGGGTAATTGAGAGAAATGTTTCTTGAGCAAAACGAAGATTCCGTTCTCAATGAGGAAACTGTCATTAGTTGCTTTTAAACCTATATCTTCATTTCGGTACCAACAAATATCGCCACGACGGTTTTCGTTTGAATCAATTAGATCATCTGTTATGACGAGGAATGACTGAAACTAAATAACAAAAAAAACTTCACTTGAAAAGGTTCTTTTAGAACTTTCTTTTTCATATTTATTTTAATCATTTTTTGATCATTTAAAATTTTATTTCGTAATCGTTCTTATTTTGGTTTTGAAAACAAAACGTGTTTTGAAAATCTGGCAATTTTCCAATATGTCAATCTGTTCGCGCCACTTTCGTCAAAAATAAATACATTAGATTTATATAAGCACCGGTCAATAAGGCGATTATGCCATACGCCATTCATAATTCAATTAGACACCAAAAACCTTACAAGTGCTTCCGTTTTTTTTCTATATAAATCAGATCAACACCGAGGTTAATTCAAAGTTGCTACAACTTCCTTATAGTAACTACAAAGTGCACTTTTTATATTTCCAAAATGGTTGTGGCAGTTAAAGTCTTCAAAAAAATCAGCCCAAATGGCAAATTAACCGTTTATTTAAGCAAACGCGATTTTATCGATTACACCACCCACACCGATCCAATAGATGGGGTTGTGGTTGTTGAAGATGAATATTTAAAGAAAAGAAAAGTTTTTGGGCAAGTAATTACAACATACAGGTATGGTCGCGAAGAAGATGAAGTCATGGGAGTCAAATTCAGCAAAGAAATGGTGATTGCTTGCGAACAAATATTCCCAACTAACAACGAGAAAAAAGCTGTAACTACAGTTCAAGAAAAACTTTTGAAAAAAATGGGTGCAAACGCTGCCCCTTTCACCTTTACTTTCCCCGATACGTCACCTACATCAGTAACCCTTCAAACAGGGGAAGACGATCACGGAAAACCACTTGGAGTCGAGTACCACGTAAAAATATTTGTCGGCGATAACCAAGAAGATCGCGGCCACAAAAGAAGTACCGTAAGTTTGGCCATAAAAAAATTACAATTTGCTCCGACCAGCCGAGGTAAGCGGCTTCCCAGCTCTTTGGTTTCGAAAGGCTTCACTTTTTCAAGTGGAAAAATTAACCTTGAAGTCACCTTGGATAAAGAAATTTATTATCATGGTGAAAAAATTGGGGCGAACGTCGTTGTTACAAACAACTCCAAGAAAGCGGTAAAAAACCTAAAACTTTACGTCGTTCAACATTGCGAAATCACCATGATTAACGCGCAGTACTCTAAATACGTCGCTTCTTTGGAGACTCGCGAAGGTTGCCCCATAACTCCAGGGGCATCTTTCACTAAAACCATGTTTTTGGTTCCTTTAGCTTCAAGCAATAAGGATCGACGTGGTATCGCTTTGGACGGCCACCTAAAAGACGACGACGTCAATTTGGCCAGTTCTACTTTAGTAGCTGAAGGAAAATGTAATGCTGACGCTATTGGTATAGTCGTTTCCTATTCCGTAAGGGTTAAAGTTTGCTGTGGTAGCTTGGGTGGAGAGTTAGTTACCGATGTTCCATTAAAATTACTTCATCCCATGCCCGGTTCCGTTGAAAAAGAAAAATCTAACGCTTTGAAGAAGATGAAGAGTATTGAAAGGTCTAAATACGAAAATGATTGCTATACTAATGATGACGATGATAACATTGTTTTTGAAGATTTTGCTAGGTTACGTCTTAATGAACCGGAATAAAGATGAAATTATGAAAATTATATATCTTTGATGACGATTTGGAGGCGAACTTGAAAAGAATATGTAATAAATGTAACCAAGTATTAATTATTTTCTTGTAAAGTATTATTATTATTAATGGTAATATTATATTCTTTATTTATTGTGATTACTAATATGTACTCTGGAATTATTTATTGATATGTACTAATCCATAATAAAGAATCCGATCATTCAATACTATTAGCATCTTATTAATAACCAAATAATTTATATTCTTTGAAGATTGGGTAAACAATAAAATATTTACAAATTGCAAACGTTTGTTTTGGCTAAAAATATTCTCAGAGGGTTAATCAATAAAATACGACATTATTTAACTAGTGGAATTTCGAATTGTTTTTTTGGGTTGGGTTCCGATTTGGCTTGGCTTGGGTTCCCATTAACTGTAATTAATCCAAAAGTTCATTTTGCATTCATTTTCTATAATGCAAAAGTCACACTTGAAAAATTACAGATAAATTAAGCTATCTAATGTTATGTAAATACATTAGAAAATCTATACAAGCCACAAAAATGACTTTTAACAATCCAATATTAAGTTGACCAAGTTTCTTCTCTTTCATATCTGTCGAAGCAATATCGTAGTAAATGAATTCATATTCTGTTGTATTTGGATATTGTGTTTGTTTAAATGATTATGTCTAGCCGTTTGTTGTAGTCTGCTATAAGTTTATGCAGCTGTAGTTACTAGTTTATTATCGATTTTATATAATTATATACAGGGGCTGCTGAAAAAATTTTATTTGTAGCCTAAAATGTAGTATTTATGGTACTATTTCATTTGGTACCTGGTTCAAGAAAATCGAAATATAAATAACAGAGTTAGAGCTTGGGGAGTTTTTTATCTGACACCCTGTATATTTATTTTATACATTTATATTTTTATTCATTTAATTATACATAATTATACATTGTGATTCGTTAAGTATAACATTATGAGTATTGTTACAAAACCAGCAAATCTTGAGATTGTTTATGAGTGAGTACCCGAGTTTATTCTCGTTCTGCTTATTATCATTATTCATTCATTCATTATTTTATATGATATAATAAAATTGAATAAAGTGTATTACATACTTATATCAGTTTCATTATTATATTGTGTGAATTATCAAACACATTTCTTAAAACTATTTGATACAGGTCTTGCATTGTAGTGTGTTGATGAGTGGCAGAAACAATGAGATAATTCAAGACTGGTGAAGGAATATACTAGGCCCAGTGTTAAAGGAAAACCTGGGTTCGAAGACAAAATTAATATAAATAAACATTTTGTTGCAACAATATGCCGTCTTATCTTCATGTTCACCTTCTGTAAGAAAGAAGGGCTGACCGCCTCTTCGACAAGAGTTTATCTTTTGTTTAGTGATGGTAACCTTTTTCCTTTGATTGTAATGAAGTGAAGATAAATGAAAAGTAACTTTTATTCATATGGCCGTGTCTGGTGTCAGATAAGAACCTATATTGGAAGACCCTAGAAATTTATATGAGAGATTTTCATATTTTTTGCTGAAGCCTCGCAGCAAATTGCTATTGGTTTACCATTGTTATAAAAACGAGCTCGTAATCGTCAATAATAAAATTAAAATTTTATAGTTTATTTATAATGTGTCTATATACTACTATGTTTTTTCTTCACACTGTTATTCATATTCTTTTTGCTACAGCCCAATTATAATGTTTCTAACTATATGGTTCAAAAGACAAACCACCTTAAATCTTGCCCAAGTTTTAAAATGTGTATTCTGATCTTTTTGAACTTAAGGCTAACATGACATTCTCATTTTCTGTTTTTTAGAAGAGAATTAGAACATTTATGATCAAAAGATTAAGAAATAAAAATAAATAAATTTGGAAATTGAGTGGGCACGTAAGTGTATCAACGCAATGAGAAGACGAATATTATGATTATTATGAAAACACTCAGATATCTTTAAAATGCTAACTTCTAATGCTGAATTTTAATAGCAAAATGATTCGGTAAAGCAGAGTTTGGAGTGGCGGATAAATACTCAAGATAATTATAGAAAAAGATTACTAAACCCGTGTATCCGTGTTTATCTTAGAAGAGACGTGTAAAGGAACATTTAAAACACCTAAAAAAATGAACTAAAACACTTCAATGTTTTTAATGCCATAGAAATCATTGGAAAAGCTTGAGATAACATTTCCATAAAAATATTGAATATTGAGTGTCCGTTAAATTTTTTTCTGACAAACCAATTAAAGCAGTCCAAGGAACTGACAATGTCTCTTATGTGATAAAAGAAATTGTTCATTATCAAGCAAATAGATTTAAAAGTAAATGCTGGGTTAATGTCAAGGAGCTATTAAATTGATGTTGATAAAATCAATAAGTAGATAAAACTTTGCAAACGATTTCCAATTGAAAATGGCTTGTAAATTTAAGAAAACATGAATACCATCAAAAAATGTTATATACAGGTTGATTTATAAGCTCATCATCAAACTTTGACATATGATAGCTAATCCAATTACCAAAAAAAATGTTAATGAACATATGTCCTATTTCAATTATTTACGAAATTATAACACTTTAAAGTTTTAATTTTTATATCATAATTAACTGCTACATTTTTTTTAAAACACATAAATATTACAAATATTGTTCAAAATGGCCTCCTTCTGTTAGAATACATTCTTCACAACGACGAATTAAGAGTTCTAATCGTATGCGGATTTTGTAATGCCCAGATTGTTCATCTTTGTAAAACATGATTCGTCTGTCCAGAGAACATTTGAAATAAAGTCATTATTTTGGGCATGTTGCTGCAATAACCATTCACAAAATGGTAACCGTTGCTGATTATCTCCTGCCTGTAAAGCTTGAACTTTCCGTTTACGATACGGATGAAGGACTTCGCGGTTCAATGCGCGGCATGCAAAATTTTGAGTTACATGTATGTTGTGTGCTATTCTTCGAGTGCGGATGGAAGGATTATCAACATTAATTACAGCTTCTTCGTCCTCTATATTAATTACGTGCGGTCGAATAGCTTTTACTGAAGCAGGATTACCTGTTTCTCGAAGCCTTCTGAAAGAATCGCTAAAAACTGAATAATATGGCAAATGACGCTGTGGAAATCTTTCTTGATATCTTCTGATTATCGAGCATTTCCATTGCAAAAACCATACACGAAAATTATATCAGCATACTCTTCAGTGCTATAAGCGTACATTTTGAGTTTCTTTTTGTATGTAATAATTAAACCTTACAGCAAACTGACATATTACAATGACAACTTTGTTTTTCTTTAATGTTTGATTTTACTGACTATTAATAAATTCGCTGCAGAAAACTTTCAAGTGTTATAATTTCGTAAATAATTGAAATAGGACATATGTTCATTAACATTTTTTTTTTTGATAGTTGGATTAGCTATCATATGTCAACATTTGATGGTGAGCTAATAAATTATCCTGTATAACGAGCAATAAAGCACATATTATGAGTCCATCATCTCTAAAGTTCTACTTTTTCATAAATAACATACGGATGTAGTAAAAACCAAAAACTAAATCTAATAAATAGCTTAGTTAGTAAATGTCTTATTAGCAAAATTGTCGTTTCAAAATCACTTGGTATATTCACTTGTTTCGTGATGAATAGTATTTTACACAAGTACCTAATGTGATAAAATTGAGTATCAGCTTAATTCTTTTTGTAAGGTCGGCGTATATATCATTTCGATTATGTTTTGTTTGCCCATTCCTTAGTTAGTGCAGAGATTATATGTTGATGAAAAAAAGAAGGCAGTTTCTAACATTTTTAAGATCTCAATGACCAAGATCATCAATCATTCAACAATATTTTGAACGAGCTGTGTCACGACATCACTTGTTCTGTCAAAAACTCCCACACTATCTCGCTATTTGGGAAAGATTTAGTTTTAACCCAGTGGGAGGCATAGATGATAGTTCTTCCCACTTGCACTTCAGCGAAGTAGCGCTACTAGGTCCAACTTTTAATTGATTAACCCACAGGGATCAGTTATAAAAATCTTATTAGTACCTTTCTTGTTTGACAATATGCATGGTGTCCAATTCTACTGATCTGGATTTTCTTCCAGAATAGTTACAATGTTCGCAGGTATCACAATAAAAGTCGTCAAGGTTACTTCTCACATGTATACCTAGGCAACATCAGCATTTTTGTTGGTTGTTCACTTTTTATGTACAAGTGTATAAATAAATTCCATTAATCTCAAAGCCCACATAAATAAGTCCAAGAATATTCTGCTACACATATTCCAATTGGTGCAATGAAGTGGTTCCGATCTACTTCGCGTTTGAATTAAGTAGCAGGGTTTAGCCAGGGGTGTTGGGATTATGATAAACACGATAAACAGTTGTAAGAAAAAAATATATAATAAAGGTTAGAAGGGGCCGAAACTGTTGTTTGTTGTCTATCCGAAAATATCCCAATTCCAGAGTAACGCAGGTGTATGAGATCCACATATAAATAGAGTAAATAAACATAAAGCTATTTGTAACCAAATTCTGTAGAGGGTTGAGGAGGAACGTGACAATATTACTTTCTTAAACGATGTAATTAATAATAATAACAACAAATGTAGATAATAAAAAATAGATAGGTCTTTTCAAGAGTGAAAAGTTAAAGATAAATAGTAGATAATACATAAAGGTGATTAAGTAGTTAGTTTTTGGCGATTGTTAAAATCTTTTATTCATTTACTAGCTTTGCTCCAAGAAATGTTTTTGAATTGTTAGGAACTCACGATATTAAAATCTTCTGAAATGTGAAGCAATTACTTAATAAATTTGCCAATTAAAAACCCGTTATTGAAACAAAACTATTTGGTTAGCTGATTTAGTATGGTTAAAAATAAATAATTAGTAACAACCCTTAATCATTTCCGTGATTTCCACATAATAATGAAAAATGTTCTCGTTTAAAATTAACTAAAATTGAGTTCTCTTTTGAATCAATTAATATATGTTAATCTTTAGGCTATAATTGGGAAAGAACGAGTACACAATATAATTAACATATCATCCCAAAATGTTAACCAGAAGAATATTATATTGAGTAAGTTTAAGGAGTTTACAGAGTTAAAATACTAATCCCTTTGGAAATAATCTAGCTCATTATAAGCTTTAACTTATCATTATAAAGCAACAAAAAGGTACAATCTAGACCCAACAATACAAAATAGACATACAAAACCTACTTGGTTTATTTATAAAATAAATTTAAAATAAAAAGAATGAAACTTACCATTTCAACACACCATCCTAAAATGTTAGCCAACCGAACATTCTCAGGAGTTAGATTGGCTGCATCTTCGAGCATTTTATAAGCAGCAACAACAGCTAATCCACGATTTTTCTTACCATTTGGTACGTTATGCTGTAATACTTTAGCATACCATTTGGTAACTTCCGGAATGTCCGTGTGTCTTCCGGCGTCGGTAAGATCACGGACAATATCCGGAAAAACGGCCATAAATTCGCGACTTTCTTCCTTTGAGCCTACATTTACGGTTGTAGCTTGCGGTACGATTTTGGCTTGAAGTGTTGATAAGGCTCTAAACAAAAAAAGTTTGGAAAAAAATTACTTCTTTGATAAATTTAAATGAATTATGAGGTTTATTTAATCAACTTTGTTGATTACCTTGAAATTGTTGAAATGTATATTAATTGTATAATGATTCGTAGTTATTTAATAGCCAATTTTCTGGTCATTAAAAAATTTTAAATTACGGATACATTCATATTGGTTATTTAAAAATAAAAAACAGGAAGTGTAACATCAACACCAAAAGGCGTGAAGTTAATTCCCATGTTTCAACAAAAAAAGAAATAATAAACAGAACAATAACAGAAAAAGTGTGTATGCGTAATAAATAATTTTCTTCTTTTGTAATAAAATACAATGAAGAACTTTTACATATCACGCACAGTTTAGTACACCAATTAGGGTTAATACGACACGATTGTATTTAGGACTATGTATATTGAAACTCGGACGTCAACAATTTCATATTATTAAGTGCGTACTAACTAACAAACTCTCTTTCGTTATGTAGTGCTAACACGTGCGAATAGCTATAAAAAATGCGTACTCGCCTAGGAAAAACAACGCGTTTATTTTGCATACATGTTAATTAAATAAGTTTATTTAAATAATCAGCGCCATACCATAAATAGAACACAATAACCAGTTTTTTTTTGTCAAAATCTTTCCAGTCAATTCAACCTTGGAAATAAAAACGTTAAACTTCTTAAATTAATTTATGATGATAATTAAGAAAGTATTATGAGAATACTTAGATCCCCCGCTAAGGTTCTAATAAATCATGATAACGGTTGGCCTATTTTTTGGATTATCTTATACACACGAAGCTCTTATCAAACAAAATTCGCGATTATTTAAAAATGAGTATGTTATAGATAAGTTAAAAACGTAGATAGGCAATTAGAAAAAATTGTAATTTTCAATCTGTTCATTCACATAAGCTATTCAAACGATGAATGTTCATTCCAGATGTTTATGTCTATTATGATTACCCATGTTTTATTTCCATATACAAGGGCAGACGACAGGACGAATTAAACGATAAGGATTTTATTAAAAAGTGATTTTTATTTATAGGCACATGACGAATGTCTTTGTGGTGACATATTTTTTGTTGTTACCAAAATGCGTTGTATTGTAGGAATGATAAATACAGAATGTGTACCAAAATATCATAAAAATATCAGTTTCAAAATAATATTGTTTTAAAATAAATTTATAATAATAAACAAAAGGATTAAAAAAGTCTTAATAACAGTTCGTTTCATAAAAATAGAATCGGAACTTTCCAAAAAACTTTGCGGTAAAAATATTAATATGTTGAATGCTGAACACTTTAATGATGAGATTATTATTGCTGCAGTAGTTTTAGTTTTTTAGAAAAGTTCTCCTTTCCACTGTTTTTATGGCTAAAAATTGGATTAAAAACATGGAACTGGACGACATAAACTTCAACTGCGTGTATATCCGGTTACATCATAAACGTATTAACGTATAAGTAAAGTGTAAAACATATGATACAAATAAGATATAGGACTAATTCCATTTTGATACTTTTAAATTAAACTTTATTTTAATATTTTATCGAAAAGATGTTTATTGTCAACCACGAAATAACTCACAATCAGTAAGAACAATAAATTTCTATTATTTTCTGAAATACCATGTAGTTATATTCTGAACATGATAATCAATGAGAATGTAAATAGATAAATTTAATATAAATTAACTTTATGACCTAGCTTTTCTAGCCTTGATTATCTTCATAAGATTTATCACTTACGAAGAGAACTTGTCCTAAACGTAGTGTTACATTATATTCCTATGCGTAAATTATATTTATATTAATGAATATCATATAGAGTTCTTTTATGAACCGTCAATGTTGTGAAATTGATCTCTGATGTCTAATTGTAAGAAATATTGCGTCATTGTGTTGCACATGAACTAGTTATATTGAACGCTGTAAAGATTATTGCTTTTATTCGATAATGTGTAATACTTGTGAGTGAAACACATTCGCTTCCCGTAGTCAAGAATAATCTTCTGTGAAAACTTCTTTTGCAATCCACTCAATTTGATAAATATTGTAGAACACAATTTTGTAAACATTGTAAGCAGAAATGTCGAGCATGATACAGAACGGTGCAGTAGATAACTTATATTCTTCCTATTACAGCGATATGATCAAATATGTATGATATATGTTGCTTTATTATAAAATTTGATTCTTTTTTTCAAAATAATTGGTCGAATGCTAATTAAAAAGCAATGTAATATAATAAATCAACCTATCTTCAAAATGATATGCGTCCATGAATCAAACGAAATTGCTCATCAACCTTTATGTACGTTTATTTGGTTCACTTCCTTTTTGCTCTTCATTGTCGAATCGTAGAATTGAATCGGAGTTGACAAAATTGGTCTATGCAAATAAGTAATTCGACTGTATTTTCATATGGATCAATGAAAAATAGAAAAGCGCGGAATGTGTCAGATATATGAGCAGTGCAAATGATGAGACGACGAGAAATACACTTTGCATGGAAACAAAAAGGTAGCACAAGTAAAATGAGCGATCCACACTGCTTCTCAACACCAAAATCGTCGCTATCATTCATTGCACTTGCTTTATCTTCAACTTTCACTGGAGTATCTTCGTCACCTTCAGTCCTAATATCATCACTACCAAACAGATTGAACCAAGAAGCCAACTGACAAAAAAAGTCCGATAGATTTATCATCATGGCAAAAATATTATCACATGTGTATCACTCTGGAGGTTCACTGAATACTGTTTACGCAGCAATTGCCGTTTTTATGATCTTTACATCAGGTTCTGCCTTTAGACATAAAAATTCATTTTCTCAATAACAATTGACTATAAAGGTTAAAATTGTAGTGCAAGTGATGTGTCAGTGTGATACAACAATTCGCTCATTGAGCTACAAACTCTAGTCGATCCAAACGCAAATCATTAACTAATATTGCAAATTATGTTAGTTTAATGGGAAGTCTGAAAAAGACTTAATCTAGTATATTTGTACTTTTTGTATTTGTTTGAACTGTTATATAATAGAAAAAGGGGAAAACAGGAGGATGGTTAAGCTTCAAATCGATGCAAATGTTGGTACCACGGTTTCAAAAGGAGAACTAAACGGGCAAGACACTGTTCATTGTAATAACCTCATTGCTCCTAAGAACTAATCAATAACATTTAAAACAGCTGGTTATTTCAGGATAACTCCATAAGATTACAATAGATATCACTTAGCTCTTACACAGGAAATGTGTACATACAATACAAATTATCTTCATCAAAAGCCTTTTGAATGGTCTATTTGAATAATATGAAACAACGAGATTCACAAAGTCAAACTTGTGACCTGTGGAGATATAATATCCAAGTAAAACGGTCCCACCAGGCTTCTGTAAAGCATTTCACACTGAAATACCCGTGATTTAAGGATCTGGCAGCAATAAAGTGATAGCAACATTTTTTAAAGTTTGAAAATGTAATCATTGTTTTATGGTAGCTATAATAATAACAAACTAAAAAATGCGTTATTTCAAGGGACTTGGATCAAATATATTTTAAGATATACTATACAAGATATCACCTGGCTTTAATATCAAATTTGGTCTTAGAAGATGTGATATGTGCTAGAATTGTGACAAGTTCCTCAAAGATCGTTGGTTGCTCGAGAAAAGATAAACTAATAATGAGCTTATTTTTATATCAGTAATACAATTTTAAAATATTTATCTTTTTAGACAACCGTATTGCTTCCTTGGCTGCTAACATTGCTTCACTTGGTTGTTTTGGCTAAAACTGGGGGCTTTTCCAATATAGTCAAATGCTCACTGTCATTAAAGTTCAACAGGATTTAAGTTGATATATATTATTACATAACTCTAAAGAATTATTCTATTGAAATCTTACTGTATGTTGTTATACAAGAAATATGAAGGAGAAAACTCCTGCTCCCATCAGTCCTCTTCAATCGCAGTGCAGAGTCAAACTTCAAACTGACATGAAAAAGTTGGAAGAGATATCGGTGTCAAAAACAAAAACTCTAAGAATACCAAGAGAGCCAAGCCGTTGCAAATTTGCAGTATCCAACAAGCCTATAGCACAGCTAGCAGCTCCAAAAAGATATTAATTATCGCTCAAACAACGAAAGGAGCTTTAATATTAAGTTATCAGCTAACTATGTCCCTAGAAAGCAAGATCCGTATGTATAAGAGTTGTCTCAAAAAGAATCCTCAAAACAGTGGAGACGAAGTGGCTCAGATTATTAACAAGATTCACTTGTGGGAATGGAAATGGAAGGACCACGTTGAACGTATGAAAGTCTCAAGACTACCAAGGATAATAAAAGATGGACTCCCAAGAGCAAATACAGCCTCCAAAAAAAAACCTATAAAGAATTCTTCTATACGGTGGTATGAACGCTAGAAATCAACTTCCCAGCATACGCAAAGAATAATTAAGGAGCATGTTTTCCAAATATGAACAGACTGAAGTAGTAGGTTTCAGAACCATAATAAGTAAATAATAAATAAATTACTACGCGTGGGAATGATAACCAATTAAACTTATTGAGTACAATTAATTAAAAACAATTTGGAGTAATTGTGAATCATTTCAAACAGCTGACAACTTTTTAGAGTAATAGGGATCATCTCGATCAACGTACATGAAATCTTATTTGGAATCTAGTACAAAAAGTAACTACGCGGCATAATTAAAGAAAAATATTTTTTTTTACAAATTTGAGTGATTTGTTAATGGAAACCACATTAACAGAAAAATAATGCCATTTCTAACAGATTAGCGATAAGGAATGATAAGAAAAAGAGAAACAACAAAAATTGGTTAAACTCGGTTGCACTGCTGAAAAGAGAATTAATTAACATACAAAACATTATCATTTTATGACTTTATACATTGTATGCTACCTCATACAATGAAACAAAAGCAAAAAATTAAAACAAAAATATTGTTATGCATCTATTTTTAACTCTAAAACATTGGATAAATTACTTAAACAAATAAAATATTTCCAGAATTTTAAAACAAATTAAAACAATGACTCATATTATACAAATTTAAGGAAGGGTAATTTTGTAAATGTGTGATTGACATAAAAGTAGAATAAAATTTAATTTTTATTGAGTTATGCTTGAGCATTAACAATGTCTTTGTAGTAAATGTGTTTATTAATTTTATCACCTCGTTTTCTTATTTTAGTTTTATGTTGGAAAGAATGAACAATGGAATTTTTTGCAAGTCAATTTATAACTATGTAGTTAATGGAATATCCATTTATTTTTAGCTTGTAATTGGAATTTAATTATGGTATTATGTAACACAAAGTATTGGTACTTGTAAATAGCATCTTATTTGCAACCAGTCAAAAACTTTAACACTTTGATTATTCAATAGTACCAAAATTTTTTATGTTCTCTAAAATTCAATAAAATTATAACCGAATTATAGAGGCAAGTTTGAAATAACTTTTAAAGAATTTGACTAAATACGTTACTATCAAAAATTCTAAAATAACTTTTAAATTCCTTAACCACTTTTTTACGTAAAGTTAGAATGCACTATTGTAAAATATTATAAGCATTTTTCACACAGTATTTGTTAAACAGAAAACGCTACTTTTTTAATATTTCAATCTTAGTTTCTTCGAAAGAAATTCGTTTAGAATCCACCGATTACAAAACAGTCACAAAGAATTGAAAACCCACTAGCAAGAGAGATGAAGGGGTCAAGCTTCCAAAGGGAACGAGAACCGAGTCACGTAGGCACCGAGGAAAGAGTGTCAACGACCGGCTTACCTCTTGTTATTGTGCCTGTTCAGTCTGGACCATTTATCTGCGTCCGAATCCTTGCGTGTATTCGACGATTTTCTGGGAACGAAAGCGTCGCTGTTTGGGACGCTCGATGTTTTACTGATGTGCCTTTGAATCTCACGACGAAGCCCTGATCTTAGGCTGGATGCACTAGCTGTAAACATGGCTTCTAATACTTTTTCTTCTTTCTTGATTGGCAAAATATTCTCTTTTATGATATGGTTTATAGAAGAGCTGAGCTGATCGGCGAATTTCTCACCGCCGGCGACGAGTCTTGACTGTTTCTGGTTGGGTTCGTGCGGCGCACTTTATAAACCCGACGAGAGAGATGCCAAGAAAACATGACCACGTGGCCACCGGCTGATTGCAGTGTTTACGTTTTTGTCGGGTAACGAAGCGGACTCATGTATGTAGATACGTAGGAAATGCGCGTTCATGCATCGGCCGAGTGATAACCATAGTTTTTTATTTGTATTGCAAAATTATGAGTTCTACATACAAATCTTGAAAATTTTAATTGAAATCAAGAAATCACCATATGTTCTTCCATTAATTAATCCATTAAGAACGACATATTTTTATTTAAATACTACACAATTTATTGAATGAATTCGAATCGATGAGATGTTTACGAATTAAACATTTATTGCGTCTTAGTTATTGCATAACTGCGAAACTTTAATAAATACAGGTGGAATTATTTAACTCCTTGAAATAATCACTTCCTTAGAAACTATCAAATAATGGATAACTTTTCTAATGAAAATATAACTTAGAATCACTGATATCCAAGCATAAAGCATCTATACAAATGATGACTAAATTAAACAACACCAATTTTGATTATGCAAAAAAGTTTGAAATTTAGCCTCTGAACTAAAAAGGAAAAGGTACTTATCCTGAAAAAGCACATCCAAAAACTTATCTGAATATACTCGTATAAGAAACGAAATAAAGTCCAGAATAAGCTATAAGGAGACAATATTACAATCAATTCATCAGCGATATAGACTGTATGGAACAATTGGAAAATGTTCAACGAGTATGAACAGACAAATGTGGTGATACAGGAAGATTGAGAAAAATATTTTACACTCTCGAAAAGGCAATACACGTTAGTGAAGCTGTAAGCACAAGAACTATTATCCAGATAGAACAAGTCAAAGAAAAAGTTGGAAAACTGAAAAACAGATGTCTCCTGGAATCGACAACACGCCCAATGAATTGCTCAAATATGGAGGAACAGAACCAAAAGCTATTTAACAGAGTGTTGTGCCATTCGGAAATACCAATTGAATGGTATAACAGAATAACAATCTCTATATTCAAAAAAGAAAATCTTATTACAAATGCCGAAACTAACCAAAGAACTAACCGAAGACATCCCCACACCACGCGGCATACAATAAGGCGTTAGTCTCAGCCCAGCTTTTGTTCAACTTATTAATGGACAAAACAATCGAGGAAGTAATAAACCTAGGATGTGAAATGGGTCAAAAGAATATGTGTAATAATTGTCAAGTCAAAAACGTGCAAAGACAACAACACGAGCTCTATCAATTGAACAAAACCCTCTACTTTAATAATTAAATGCATGGTGTTAGCAAGAGAGCCAATAAGATGTAAGTTGGTAGTCCATCGAACAAGTCTTAGAATTTTCCTATTCGGGTGTAAACATCTCATGCACTCACAATCCCGCAAAAGAACTAAGAAGTCAAATCAAGAAAGCGTCCGCAATTTCTAGCTGCCTACAAGATACTGTTTGGTCGAACAAATTCAGGAAAATGGATTGTGACAACTTACGGCATTGAAATACACGAAGACACGAACAAAGCTAAGAGCATGTTAAGTGAAGCAAAAATAAAAACCTTGAGGACAATCTCAGGAAAGACTAGATGGGATACAAAAATTCCGGGATCATAGACCAATATGGAGTTCAGGACATTATGAGATGGGTAAGACAGTGCAAGAGAGATTTTAGCACAACCACGTTCGTAAAATGCCAGATAATAGATTGTGCTTACAAATAATCCGTCCGAAACCAGACCATCAGGTAAACCATCAATGAGATTTAGAGACAAAAGACATACTGAAAAGACATAGTGAGGAAGAGTTCCACGTTTCTAAAAATGTAATCAGGAACCCTCATCATGTAAAATCAAATATGCTTATTTTCCATTGATAATATAATTCATTGATAATGATTAAACCAACTACTGGGTCTCTCTAAATGTCTGCACATACATTAATTTATTGATGATACTGGACAATCAGATGAGGAATTTCGTAACTTTTACTCTTCATTACTTGATGTATTATTATAAGGATGAAATTTATGAAGTTGTATAATTTTATAAACAGTAGCTTAGAAAATTCTAGTTTCTCCAAAAATTTGACGTAATGAAGTATTAATCCTTGCAATTTAATGGCTTTAAAACTTTCGGCTGATTCTGTTTTACATTTTCAACATATCTGGTCTGAGTAAATTTGGAAATAATATTTAAGAGTAATCTATGTGACGTGTTCTTATCCGGCTACTTTTTTCGTTTTTTCGTCGTCGGATTAAATTAATACAATTTAAACCCAACCCAACCCAACCCTTTTTTATAAACGGTAAACCAATATTGTTTTCAGCAATTATTTTCATAAATTTCAAGATTTTCAAAAATTAAAGTGGGAAGTTTTCATATGAACTTCCTGTACAAAAATGAACAACAACGATTGAGTCAATTTATTGAAGTTTGTTTACGGGAAATGAAGGAGGAAGAAGTCCCCGAAAATTCAGAAACGAAAATATATTTTATAAAGAACGGGAAAATTCTTCTAGTGAACAGGGCATATTGGATATAGAACAAGAACTAATAACACTAGTTTACAAATTTTAATCAATTTTTTCCTCGAAGACTGTGATATTTTTTTCCAGTTTTCGAGATATACCCAAAAATGTGGAAAATCGTAAATTAAAAAACATAGCAACGGTTCATGTTCAGTATATTTTTTGATTGATTCAGTATATTTTTTGACCAGATTGATAATAAAGATTGTAGAAGCTGCGATCATCTAGGGTTCAATTTTTTTTAATATTATTACGTCAGAAAGATAACGCTAACAAAGCTCTTAAATTCCTCACAAGACTTCTGAGCGCAGGACGAAATGATATTATTAGCCAGGTCAGCAATAATATGTGCATATGATAGAAGTATAATTTATAGAAATACAAAATATCACACCATCGCAAAAAATAATAAATTAATAAATTCTTTCTAAACCAAAGTTCTGTGGAATTATTATTGAAAGAAAATTTTAGTACTGGAATTGATGTGGTAAAAAAAGTACGAACTGAACTACAAACCACTATAATTTTTGGTCTGACTTAATTGACTACATTCAAGAAGCCTCAAAATTCTAGGAAGACTTCTAGGAAGTGAATATTGACTCATCCTATATATTATTATACAGATTACATATTTAGGGAGAATTAAGGAAGTCATAAAAATAAAAAATTGCAAGATAATTAAATTCTTTATTGTTTTAAAAAATTAACAAAATTATTTGCACAAAATTTTAAATATTCACGACTCGACTTTTTAATAGCTTAACACTTGCTAATGAGTTCGACTTGTGTCGAATGATAGGCCACTCAGGAATTTGTGTAAACAATTTGGAGAAACTCGAAGAAAATCCGTGGAATTGTATAAAAATAAAAAATATTCTGTTGAATCCTGTTATATAAAATATCCCATTTAAAGTTTCTAGAATATTTCTTACAATTAGTAAGTTTTTTCAATAAATTTAACAGAAAATAAGTATAGTAGTTAGGAATGCTATTTTAAGTTACATCTGAAAAAGTTATTAAATTGTAATAAAATACCGCGAAACGATTATGAAAATGATCAAAGATTCTGTATACATATTAAAAATAAATAGAATTGAAATTTAGGGTTTAAATGATTACATAAGTATTACAGAATTAATAGATACACATATCTATTAAATGTTTTATACTAAAAAGAAATACAATAGTTTCGTACAAATCTAATACAACGTATAGTCAACTCGATTTCAACACTCTTATTTCCGATACCCTAGTCAACTTCGTATCCATTTCTCAAACTACAGTAGACCGTAGATTTCTTGGTGTTTTTAAGTATATTTTTGATGCAATTAATAATTTCTTTTGCTTCTTTGTACCTTTTAGCGAAGTTTTTGTTCTTGGTAAATGTTTTAATATATCATTTAATATATTTCAACTTGGAGTGTGCTTCTGCATTATCTACAATCTTTTCCAATAAAATACGGTTCTATTACACCAGTTTACAAGAAAATGTAATAGAATGTTGTGCTGATTCTGAAACTGTCTTCAGTTTTTCTCCATCACATCCAGTTTTCGAGATATACCCAAAAATGTGGAAAATCGTAAATTAAAAAACATAGCAATGGTTCATGTTTAGTATATTTTTTAAATAGTGCTTCTGTAGCTATATGGACATGAAAGTAGAGATCCAGACGAATATTTTGAGGTATTGATGGCATAAATCGGATTCTCCGTTATTTTGCTACAGCCTAAAACAACTCAACAAAATCAAATTTTTTGGCATTTTTTTATCACTGAATCGTACCGTAACGAAAAAGAATTATATATGAACAAAAAAGTTAGCTATTCTATCCTGTAGAACATTTAATTCTCTAAATTTCGAAGCATTGGACACCATGATCAAACGTATTTTACCGGAGATATCGTTAATTTACGACAATCGTGCAAGATTTTATTTTTTGCCATTTTCACTGTATTATTGAAACATTATTACGAAATTTAAATAATTTTTTTTTAATAAAGAGGTGTTTTAACTCTTCCAGGCACTAAGTATAAACATTAAATACATTATTTTTTAAATACAACAAACAATAACATTCTTGGAAAAAGTTTTTAAGAACTCGCGCATTTACCTGTTAGACCTTTTTTGGCAAAAGAAATTCTCATTGTTAAAAAACAATCACTTTCTGTGAAAAAGTGTTTTTTAATAACTCCACTTCTTTATATATTAGAACCTTGTTCTGCTAAACAGTCTTTTTTTCAAATATTTTTTGGGATAAAAGGATCTTTCGTTTAAGAAAATAGCAAAGTGTTGTAAAAGTTTTGTTGATAATGGCTAACAGCAGCAGAAGTTTTGAATGCAAGAACAATCCTGATTTGTTCTATTTTATTTGCGGACAATAAATCATCGGGATGACGGGACGACCAATCACAACTGTTATAAAACAGCCGTATTCTCATTATTTTGGGTTTACTTTGACAAATTTAGA